TGTGTGGGTCTCAGGGAGTGTGTGTGCAGCTCTTTTCCTGTGTGCTGGAGTCAGAGGAGACAAAGAGCAGCGYTCTCTGAGATGTTATCGCTCCTCTCAGCTTTGAGCTCTTCATCTCGTCTCTGAAACAAAACGACCACAAACGACACCACAGACCCAAACCACAAGCTCTGACACACATCGACAGTACGGGAAACACACTCTCACAATGTTAGAAATATAAAACAATATAAATTAAATTAGAAAAGGTCAAATGGAATGAAACCCTTTAGATTCCTGATTGCGAGAGATTTTATTAGATTAAAAAGTCTCATAAAACAATTTTAACACAATGTGTTTAAACTTTCCTCTGTATATTTTGGTGCACAGTTAATATTTTATAGCTGGAAAATAAAATCAAAAAGACATTTAGTGAAGACTTGGAAACAAGGGAACATTGATCAAATGAATAGCTGAAAATTTGTAAAATCCAAATACTTTGACTTAAAAGTAGCATTTTTCAAAAGATAAACAAAAGAAGACGATTTGTTTATTCAGAAAACTATCAAACAGAAAAATTGTCAGTTCAGAAAGTTTAACAGCAGAACAAAAACAACCATCAGAAAACAACTAAAAACAAATTAAGAAAAATTAATTAGCCACAAAATGATTGTAGAAGTAACAACTTTTTAAAAATCAGTTCCACTTCAATCGAAACCAATTCCAGGAACCAAACACCAGTTACTGATGAGAAATATTTTATCTCTTTGACCCGATGAAGTGATTAGTTTCATGGTAAAATTCAAACAGAAGTACAACAAAATTCTCCTCGAAGGCAGAAAATTTTACTAAAAACATTTCCAAACCCACTTATTTTTTTTTAACCAAGAACACTTTTAATAAACTTTTTAAAATTTAAAAAACATCACAGAGAAGTTGGACTGATCAGCATTTAACACAGAGCTGCCGGGCGCTGAGTTTATGATTTTTCAAAGTTTCTTTTTTCTTTTAACTCTAAACCAACTTGGTTATGTTAAACAAACAAAAAATAAAATAAAATAAAAAAGTCACAAAAATGTAATGTGTCATCTAATTCAGCCTATTTATGGCATTTAGGTTTAAATGTGAAATTTCTATACTTTATAAATAATAACTTGGTCTTAAACATGAATCCAATACCTTTTTTTACAGAACTAAATAAAGCCTCATAGTTTTAAATCACAAAATCTACAAAGTGATGTTCTGGTTGGTGAAAATGTGACAAACTTTAAAATAACAGATGAAAATCTGTGTACAGAAGTTTTAAGGAGCAACTAAATCTTTCTGCACAGAACAGAAGTCGTAACTAGAACTGAATTTGCCACAAATTGTTTAAATTAATTGGTAAAACTCATCCACTTTACTTATAATCCCACCAGAGCTCAAAGCATCACTTTTAAGACATTAAATGTTTTCATTTGATAATCAAAGTTAGCTTTATTACTTTAGAATCTAAAAAATAAATATAAAAGTTGTAACTTTTCTCTTTTAAATACTCTCTGTCACACAAACATGTCTGTTTTCTGTAAAACGATTTAAAAATGTTTTTAATCTTCTAATTAAAAAACAAAGTTATAAACTAAACCACAGTCTTGACCTTCACACACACATATTGCACGTATACTGTTTCTAAACAACACAAGAGTTTTTACATTTCATATTAAAGATGAATATCCAYGTAAAACGTACACCAGTTGGAAAATTTATTTAGTCTTTTAAAGCAACTTTAGGGATAAAAACTGATTTTGTTTCTACACATGCCATCCTGACAGGAAGTCTTTTGGGAAAAATAAATCTGACGTTCGAGTGTGTCCAGTTATCTACCAAAGTCTTTCCTTTCCTACTTACTCCTCTTCAGTTTCCAGCTCACAGCTTCTTTTCCCATGATGCTCTCGGTGCAGCAGCAGGTGAACTGTAGCACCTGTAGAGCAGCTGGACTCTTCATCGTCGTCCTCATCCTCAGACAACACGCTGCCATTTATTTTCTGTGCAAAGACGACGACTCTGTTTCGCTGTGCAGTCTCACTGGCTTCCCCTGGTCACCCACAACACACACACACACACACACACACACACACACACACACACACACACAGGTTTCAGGTTGGAGACCCCCCTCTGTGTGACTAATACAGGGAAGCCCATGCAGGTGTGCCTGTGAGTGACTCAAACAGAGGACTGGAAAGGTGAAGTGGGCTAACAGTGTTCTGACTGGGTCTCCCCTCTGACAAAAGGCATCAACAGAATCCCCTGCTTACTGAAAACGGTGCAAAGATCGAAACAACCGGGTTTCCATTCAGGTTTCGCTCCAAATAAAGCTTTAATTTATGACAAATTGGAGGCAGGGCGGGTAATAAAAGCCTGTCACAGTCAGAAGGTGACARGATGAAGTAAAAGCTCACCGTCAAGTTAAAAAACAGCCAATATTTAATGTTTGACTCCTAATAAGCCACTCGTGCTTTCATTGTTTCTCTGCGCCTCCTCCCACCCGTGGAACACAGAGGTCGCCCACAGACCAAGTGAAAAATGTCAGCTCTCTCGCTGCCCGAGTCGGCGCGCTCGTTTTCCATCACAGCACAGGAAATGTGACGGGCCTCGAGTTGCGCCACAGCATCTGATCTGACAAGAGTTTCATTTCCCAACTGTTAGAGCAGCGTTCACATGAACAGACAGGGGGGAAAAAAACACTTTTACATTTGGGTTGGTGGTTCGAAACCTCCAGGAGCGCCACCAAGGGGATGCTGAGGGAGGCAATGACCACYTCTAAAACATCGGTGCCCCCTCCTCGGCCTCTTGAGTCACGAGCTTTTGCTGTGTGGATTTTTAGTTTCCACTTTCTCTGTTGGATTAGTTGAACCTCGTAACACAAAAGCTTTTTTTTTTTCCTGAGCAATTAGGAGCTAAAAATATMAAATAAAATAAAGTCCTCAGCTTCAGGATGCGGGGTCACAGGAGGTTTTATGTAACACATCATATCAAAATGAGGATTAAGTCAAATTTGGTCACATTTTCAGATTCCAGGCTTTGAAAGCTAGCCCATAGACCCTGAGATATGACTTAATTTGTTTTGTTGATTATGATAATACACAAATTTTATGTCATTTTAATGAGGAATGTTTTATAAAGAGGAAATGTTTAAAAGTATTTAAATATTGAGATTTTCCAGCTGGGAATAAACAAAAACATTTCTAGCTCACAGAGAAAATCTGAAAATTTTAAGATGTTTTTCCTCAAAATCAGGTTATTTGTTGCTACTGCYCAAAAAAGTGCTTCARATTTTTGTTTTATGATTATATTTCAGACAGTTCATTCAAATGACATATTGATAAAAGGCATTTATTTGTTACATTTTGACAAAACGCAACAAGTTTTAATCAAAACACGATATTTGCCTATTTCTCCACTTTTAGACGTTATCCTCGTTTCGATATGATGGGTAACATATGTGTAATACTTTATTATAAATATAGATTTATTAGAGGAGAAACTTCAATAAGATGAAAGTGAAAGTGCTTTTCTCAATAAATATCAGCTGTCAAAAAACAAAACTAAAGCAGACCTGCATAACTCACTTTCATGTTGCTTTTTTATTTGTCATATTTGACAACAGTGTCACAAATCTGAAATTCAGTTCTGGTTTGTTGATTTTGAGGCCACCCTTGTGTTTTCAGTGGCCCCCCACATTAAAACGTCTCTGGAGCCACCACTGTCTAACTCACAATGTTTTCATCGTCTCTCACCCGATTCTCAAACCAAAATAAGAGCTGTACGGTTTTCTAAAATCCTGTTAAACATCAGAAACTGGATCAACCTGACGTTTTGACATAAGCATCGCCCCAACAATAAAACTTCACCCTCCCAGGTCGACACCAGCGCTGATCATTCTGGCCTAAACAAAAACAAACTACTTTGTGTTGACCCAACTGCAGGATCTGAGTGCAAAGCTGCAGTCCAACCACAGATGTCACAGAAGGTGTTTTCCTGTAAGGTTTTCTTGGTGCCTCGAAGGTAAACACCTGTCGTGTTGTGATGGAACAGGAGCTACCTGACTCAAGTGTTGGTGGCTTCAYTTGCAAGAAATAGCTCAGGTTTTAGTTGTGTTGCCACCTAGTGGTTTTAGGGTTCAGCTGGCTGCAGGGGTGTACTTTCACAAAAAACAGATTGCTGCGACAACAACCTGCAGCTTTTTATTTTAGCAGACTGTCACATTATGACATAGARATCATAGAGACAACTAGAGTGAGCACTGGTCTCATGAGCCTGTGATTCACTGTAGCAATGACAGCCATTGGCATAGAGGTCAAGTACAGAGAAGGTATACGTATAAGCTTTAATAATGTATGTAAAAATGCCAGAAAGCTGTGTGTATTACAGATGTACCAATAAAAGAGAAATTAAAAATTAAAATATCTGCAGAAATTTAAAATATGTCATTTTTAAACTCAGCTAAAGATTGGATACTGATCACTTTTTAAAGCAGTTAGTAGAGGCTGTGAGCTGTTTCCGTTTGGACGCCATCTTGATTCTCCACCATGTCACAGATGTAAACAATAGGCAGAGTTCACTTTAGTAATATTATATTATCTTATGCAAAATATATCAGGCAGGTAAAAAAAAAGCTGATGCAGTGAAAGTTAAATGTTTAAAATTAATTCAAATAATTTATCTAAATATGTGTAATTCTTGTACCCAGTTTGTTCTGCATCTTTGTCATAATTCCTAATTGGTTAAGGTCAAAGCAGATTTAAGTTGGATTAACAGCTAAAATTAAAAAGACAAAATGTGGACGATGTGGTTGTAGAATTTGTAGGAGTTAAAAAAAAAAGACAGCCATCCTACGCTCATCATCTGAAACAAGAATAAACGATAAAAGCATACGGCACTACTTTATCTTCACAAACAATGAAACTCTAGGTTTTAATTAGGCTGTAAACATTTAATGAACCATTAAGTTACAGATCATTAAATTAAAATAACATTTTTATGTCTTATAAATCTGTACTCCACCTGCATTCTTCGCTTTTTGAATTTTAATGTTAAACATTTATCTTTTGTAGATACAGACTCTGTTTTAGCAAATACATTTTTTAATTAAAAAACAAATAAATAATTTGTCTGAATAAATAAAAATCCAGCTCTTGATTTGACCAAATAGTGCCTTTGTTTAAGAGCATGGACTTAATAATTGATTATGAAGACATAACTTTATAAAACAAAAAATGAGGAAACAGTTTGAACCTTGGCTGTGTTTGTTGTCGTCAGCTTACTGCAGTGTTCTCCTGAGTGTAGCTTTGTTCACATGCACACACACACACCCCAGGTTTGTTTTTATATCCCTGTGAAGACTGTGAATTGACTTCCATTCATTTTCTGGTAATTTTATAGCCTAACCTTAACCGCAACCTAAACTCAATACACACCTTGGTCCTAACCCCCACCTGAAATTAGCATCCCGTACCCATGGGAATCCATTTGGTCCCCACTAGGCTGTGTTTTGCTGGAAAATGGTCCCCACGATGTAGCAAAAATGTGCCCACACAAACATACTCTGGGATGTCTAATTTTAGATGTGTTGTAATTCCTGCATGATTGGTTTTAAATGATAGTTTTAGCAGTCCTGATTTATTGTGTTGTAAACCGTTAGCTTGAACCAGCTCTGCAAATGAAACATGTTTTATATTCATGGTGTTTATTTTAGGGTAAATGRTCAGGGGTTAGGCCATAAAATTACCAGAAACTGAATGGAAGTGACTCCACAGTCTCCACGGGAATATAAAAACAAACTTGGGTGTGTGTGTGTGTGTTATACTTGTTTTTACTACAGAGTGAGGACTTTGTTAGGTTTCTAACCAAGTGAGGTCATTTTTGATAAGTGAGGTCCTTTTTGATAAGTGAGGACATTTTCCCAGTCCTCACTTTGTTTGCAGCTCTACTGTGCTTTACCAGTTAGGTTTAGAGGTATGGTGTGAGTTAAGTTTTGGTTCAGGTTAGGAATACACTAGTAATGGTTAGTGTTAGGGAAAATGTCTGGGTTGGGCATAAATACAGTTACAAAAATGAATGAAAGTTAATGCAAAGTCCTCAGTTTGATGAAAGAACAAGGATGTGTGGGTGTAGGGGGTAATGATATAGTTTTATTTATCAGAGAAGCCTCTCTATGTGCATCCTTTTTTATTTGAAAGTTAGAATAGACCAATTAATTTCAATGCTATTGTTTTAAATGTCTTMTGTTCCTTGTTATTTTCTTCCTCAGGTAAACACTTTTCAGAAAGAAAAAAAAAAGTCTAATTTGTGCATTTACTTTCTCACGGTGCCAAGAACAGCTGCAGCGCTGAGGAAACTAAATGTCGCCGACTGACTCCGTCACAGAAAATGTTTTTGTACTTCGGTCTAATCTTGATTTGGTTTCTGTTCAGTCAAAAACTACAAAGAGTCGCTGATGAGCAGGGGTTGTGTTCAGGCAGCGTAAATTTCTATTTTTAATCATTTCTGGGTTTTTTTTTCTGATGATATTAAGAGGCTTTTTTAATGTTATAAATGAGGGCATTCTCACACAGAGGGGAGGTCAGAGGTCAGCWACAGCCTGCTGCTGGCAGGAGGCTCTGAGGTCACATGACACGTATAAAAAGTGTTCGATTTGTGCAGAAACAACTAATAACTCATCCTCCTCCCTCTGCAGCTGCTCCACTTCCTACCCCATCCTCTCCAGCCCACACGTGCGGCTGCGTGCGCGYGTGTGTGTGTGTCAGTACCGTGGTGTTGCAGTTCGATGCCTCGAACCCAGAGGCAGGAGGGAGCGAGGTGCAGATCTGGTTGGGCTCCACTTCAAAAAGCCAGCGCAGACCACGACCTCGCTGCTGGAGGGCTTCTGCAAACGCTCCGCTGCAATGATCCGATTGGACGGAGCAGCAGCAGCAGGCTCCAGCTGGGGCGTGGTTTCAGGTCTGGCTGCAGTGCCTCCTGACAGATCCCACTCAACGCCACGCAGACGGGTTCACCTGCTTCTTGTTCTCCGGGAGATTTCAAATGGACCCCAAATGGATTCAGGTTCTAGTGATGCTGCTGTTTAGTCAAAGTAAGACGAACTTCTTGCTCTATGACGTTTCTTTTTGTTGTGTTTTCACCAAGAAGTGAATAAATCTGTGATTTTGATCCCAACATTCAGAAATCAACTCAGCTTCAGCTCATGTTGCTAAAGCAAAGGAGGGGAAAGATGTTTCGATCCAGTGTACGCCTAAAAAGGACGGGGCAAGCATGGTGATCTGGTTTCGAGTCTTGGACAAGTCTGGCATGGAGTTCATTGCATCAGTCGCCCTCAGCGGACAGCTAAAGAAATCTGCACATTACTTTGATCAAATCTTCAGACTGACAGAGTCTCACACCCTCACTCTGAAGTCCTTCAAAAGAGAGGACAGTGGGATCTACAGCTGTGCCTGTCTGGTCGGTGGAAACAGACTCGAATTTGGAGCAGTAACCAAACTGGAACTTGAAGAAGGTGAGCTGTGTTTCCTTAAAGTGGTCCAGTTTTCACATTATAGTCAGAGACTCATATCCTTTTTACTCTTTTTTTAAAAGAAATTAAAAAGGCAACCGAAGCTCCAGCACCGCAGCTCACYGCCCAGATGACAACAACAAATAAATGTGACTGTAAAGACAAAGACCAGACAGGTAACGTCCCCACGTTCTGTACCATCCAGAGACCTGTGAGAGGACAAACAGAGGTAAACAAGTGTTTGTTTGTTTGTCAGATTCATCCATGTTTTGTGCCCCGATCATCCTGGGCCCCCTGGCTGGAGGCTGTGGCCTTCTTCTCCTGCTCCTCTTCATCACCACTATATACTGCAACAGTGAGTTGATTTAATACAGAGCTCACCTGAAACCATCATGTTCATCTAAACGATTACAATCATTAATTAAMCTTAGATTTCCTCCGCAAAGCTGTGCTTTTAATTATTTTACGTCTTTGCCCAAATGCAAATATTCTCCAACTTTAATGTTGTTTTTCTTTTTAGAAATGAGGACTCGAAGGTGCCCACATCACCACAGGAGGAAGTAAGTTTCTCTTCTTTCATTTTTCTAAAAAATTGAGTGTAAAAAAATAAAATCTTGATGTTTTTACTTAATTTTCTTACAATGGCATCGACTTAAAAATATATTTTACCGTTATTTTAATGACTATAGTTTTAGAAACTTGTTTTTTTTATTTTACGTGGGTTTTGTTTCGTTTTTTAATTTCTTTATCTGAAATCTACCGACCCAAATATTCTTAATTTTTTCCTGTTTTTAGGGTTTAATCAGGATATTTTGGTTCAAGTTTAATTCTCCACCATAAAACATTTTGTTTTGTTTGAGRTTTTGTTTTTTAAAATATTGGGGAAATAGTCTAGTTTTTATTCCAGGCCCGTTTTTATCTCTAAACTAAAATGTGTTGATTTTAGGACAAATAAAAGCTTTAAAATCCTTTTAGTTAGCATTTCTTCCCTTTTTAATTCTCTTTTAAACTGATTTTCTTACACAGGCCGAGGATGGACGCTCTTGAGAAACAAATGATGGTCAACAGACACGTCTGATCTCTGCTGGAATTTCACCAAATTTTCTTCAAACTCGTTTATTTTTCAAWTTTTTTTTTGTCGAAAAAGGTTTTAATTTTTTGTAAAATAAAACCTTATGATTTCCAACAACAAAAAAACTAAAACAGTTTGAATCAGCTCAAAGCGCCGATTATTTAGGTTTTACTGTGTCGTAATTCCAAGACTGAAAATTTAACTGACATTTGGATCTTTTTCCAAAATAAAATCATGAAATATTTTGTTTTTAACCATTAATTTGTGTCCTTGAAGAATCCAGAGATTTTAAGCCAAATTGTCTTGTTTTTGCAAATGTAATATAA